GGCGGAGACACACACCTTTTTAACCCTGCCAGTCTTTCCTATGCCGTTCGGTCCTCAGTCTGAAGCTGTGCAGGGGATGCCAGCCTTCTGTCCATTCACCAGCCTTCAAAAGCCACTCAGCACTGTGAGATTCTACGGATTTTAGGATGCCTGCCAGGAAAAAGGAAGGGATATCAGATATCTATGATCTACACTCCCGAGGCCTCCTTCAGCAGTACTTCCAGACAAGACAGTACTTGGCTCAATGACTCCTCTAGCTTGACTACTGTTTGGATTCTTGAGCGTATATTGCTGGACACGATCTGGGCACAACCTCCCAAGGCTGGAAACTCTCTACATACTCAGCCCAGCTCCAACTCAAGACAGTCCTCAGCTCAACACCGACTGTCCCAATATGAATGTGGGGTACAGGATAACACAAATAGCAGTAAGCCCCCCTTGCAGTGAGAGCCCATAGGGTAAAAGCAATGTGAGGTTTCTCTGCTTGAGTGTATCTCAATGGCTGTTCACTTGAGTGGCATGCACAGGGCTCCATCCCTAGTACTGCAAGAGAAAGTGGAGTGTTTAGCTGGAGTGGTGGTACGCATCCTTAATATCAGCACTCAGGAGGCAAAGGCAGGTGGGTCTCTGAGTTCGAGGCCAACCTGGTCTATAAAAAAGGTGTGTGTTGGGGGCAGAAAATGGAGTTTTTAGACAATGTTCTAATCTTGAAAAATGTATATGTACACATATATACACACACATATACACATAAAACACACTGAAATCGAGAGAGGGCGGGGAAGAGAGAGAGAGGGAGGAAGGGAGGGACTCTGTCCTGCATCCCACCCACTCCTCCATCAAATTTTTGTTGATCGGTATTGCCATGGATACAGATGTAGGCTTGTTCCACTTGTTTTTTGCTCACTGGATACAGGTTAACTTTTAAACTACCATTGAAGCAAGACTGGAAACCCATCATATATAGGTAGGTAGAACTTGATCCCTCTTTTGTTACAGATGGTTAATGCTCAGCAGGTGTTGACTCTTGACCTATGACCTCAAGATTTGGGCTTTTGTGGACTTGGATACCCTCTCACAGACTCATGAGGAGACCTCAGAAGCCTCAGGCAGGACTCCCAGGGTAAAAGCTGTCCCATTCAGTTCTCCAGGTACTATTGAGAAGAAAGAAATGTTTGCAGATAAAAATCAGGAGACTTAGAAGAAGACATAGGCTAACCCTGCAGAAAGCTGAGCTGTGTCCTGTCCCACTCAGAGATGCAAGAGCCCGGAAGTGGGGAGCCCATCCAGACAACTCACTCTGATGAAATATGTGGGATACTTTAGCTCCTTCCTGATAACTAACAGGTAGGTTAGCGGGCATGGGAAATCAAAGATGGAGCTTTTCTGTCAGAAATAAGAACTACATGGCCAGGGCTGCTCTGCCCACAGCTCTGCAGAGCCCAGGCTCATGACTGGCTGAGGACATAGGGAAGATGGCAAGGACAGCACAACCTTCCCAGTCACATTCCCCCCTGTACATCCTGACTCAGACTTTGCCAGAAGCAAATGGGCACTTGCCAGGGATCTGAGCCATGACCTGGAATTTTCCATGGCCTAAAATGGAAGAACAATGGCTAGAAAGACCCATAACACCCAGAACTGTATTCTGAAGATAGCAGGTGCTTAGGAACTATTTGTGGGCGAGGATAAATTGGCCTTTTCATGAGCAACAAGCCAATGAGAAGGCTTGACTGCTCAATGGCCAGGGCTCCCTGACATTCTGGTGGAGGGATGGGAATCACCACTGCACCTTCTCAGTCTGAGGTCTCGTGAGGTGGCTCTGGGTACACTTTGAGACACACCTGATTGTGAGGGAGCCTGGCCTGGATAACGCTTGGTGTCTTTTCTTGCAGCCATAAACAAGACTGATTATCAATGGAGCCTGGGCTTCACAGCCATCTGGAAGCAACAGACTCAGCACAAGCAGCTGATCCTCCATGCATAAACCACCCCATGACTAACGCTCTCTCTAGTCAGGGAGAGCTGGACCTGGAGGCTTCCACTGGCTTGGTTCTGGGTGTCCTCAATCATTTACTTGGCTATTGGGAGGATGGTGAAGCTCAGCCCTGGGTGCTCCTCACCCTTTTCCTGAGCGCTTTTCTTTCTCTTAACTCCCACAGTGTCTCCTTAAACTCCAACTCAGCTTCCTAGGGCTCATCCTGAAATTCTTTTCTTCAGCAAAGTCAAGAATACTGGCTCCATTTGAGCAGTGGCTCACACAAGAACTCTCCACTGTGGGGCTGACAGTCTTCCCACCCTCAGCCTCACTCCAGGCTCAGCTCTTCCCAGAAAACACGCAAGCCGGGCTCAGACTTTGCCAAACAAGCCACAGTTCACAAGACCAGCATTCCACCTCTCAGAATGATGGCTCCTGGGACTGCTACATGTCACATGGGTGTAACAGGGACTGTGAATCAGTGAATATTCAATAGCACTCTAGGCTAGGCCTCAGTGAGTCAAGACAACATTTCAAAATCCTCAACAAACAGGTTTGAATTCCAGCTGCCCTGGTGTCTGGAACACCAGGTATACAAGTAAAACACTAACCAAAAGTAACTTGGGGAGGAAAGAGTTATGTTGCCACATCACAGTCCACCTCTAAGGGAAGTCAGGGAAGAAACTCAAGCAGTAACCACCACACTTTTTGGCTGTTTTTAACTCTCCCATGACCACCTGCCTAGGAGTGGTACCACCCAAGTGCTCTGGGTGCTCCCATTAAGAGTATCTACAGAGCTGGGTGGGCATGATTCACACCTTTAATCCAGCACTTGGGAGGCAGAGACAGGCATATCTCTGTGAGTTTGAGGCCAGCCTGGTCTACAGAGTGAGTTCCAGGACAACCAGAGCTACACAGAGAAACCTGTCTGGGGACAAAACAAACAAAAAAGAATGCCTACGGATATGCCTATGGGCCAATCTGATAGAGACATTTTTTTTCAAATGAGGTTCTATCCTCCCAGGTGACTCTAGTTTGTGAATGGGTAACAAAAAAAAGGGGGGGGTGTAATAAAACCCCAAACAGCACTGAAAGCAAACCTCTAGAGGCCTGGTGTTTCCCCAGCAACCCCCCACACCCCGATCAACTTCTCACCCCTGAATGAACGTTCCAGTCTGCTTAACAAGGTGACAAAATAGGTAGATCAGCTAGCTTGAGAAAGGACAGAAGCACAGACAGCTTCATTAACACGTGTGGGGACATGGCTCAGGTGATTGCCCAAGAAGCAGTGAGATTCAGAAACACACCACCCTTCCTCATAAGCAGAGGGAGAGATGTGGCACCCTCCATAAGAGCCCAAATGTAGCATCTCCCATCACTTGTGGCCTTGATGAACATTGTGGCTTCACACACTTGTCAATTCACCTCTAGTCAGGTCAAATATGAGAGCTGGCAGCAGAACCCAAGCTCTGAAAAGTCAAGTAACCAAACCTCTGCGAGCTTTGCCAAGCCCAAGCCTTTGTAGGGAGAACATTCCTTAGAATGGGGATGATCCTCCCACCCCTGAGCCTTTCCTGGGTCACTTCATTTCCCCAGCAGGAGTCCTTCCATCCGGAATCAATGGGAAACCTGGCCTATTCCATGTCTAAAGGGTGGGACTTAAACTCAAATTGGAACTGAGCCACCGGCTTACAAACATCACAGGACACCAACAAACAGGTGGCTTGACACAGGCCCCCAGTTCCCACCCTCATCCTCCTTTAGGATGGATCTGGCCAGTGGGTTTGCTCCTCTAGGTCAGGAAGCAACCGCTGGGCTGCTGGAGGTGTGGCTCTGTGGATGGAGTGCTTATCTACTAGCAAGGGAAGCTAAGGCTTGCATCTGAGATGGGCAACACATAAACCAGGCTCACACACACACACATACACACACACACACACACACACACACACACACACACACACACACACATACACACACACCCTGTAGTCCCAGAACTTGGGAGGCAAAAGCAGCAGAATCAGAAATTCAAAGTCATTCTCAGCTACACAGTGAGTATGAAGTTAGACTGGGCTACATGAGACCAGGAGCAAAACATCTCCCACTCTTTACCTGAGTTCAGCAAACCAGCACACCAAGATGTCATTGTGTAGAGAGCACCCGTCTTTTCAAGCACAGTATCACAGTCGAGCAATCAAGCACCACAAATGGAAGAAGGAAAAGGCTTAGGAGCATTTAAAGATGCAAAGCATGGTTACCTGCAACACAGCCCTGGATGCTTCCTTAACTGTATCCCAGCATAGACATCTCCAGCAGGGTTTTCTAGGCCCCAGAATGCAGAAAGGAAGACCCTGCAGAGTGTTTTGCTTAGAAGTTTTGTATGGACTTAGGCATTATTGCCATTTTGCTAGGCAGTACCCTGAACTTGCCTCTCTATCACAGGAGCCACAGATTAGTAAAAGTGAACCAAAATTTAAAATTAAATAATTTAAATGAGCTAAAATTTGTATTCAAGTGAGCTAAAACTTAAATTCAGTCCATCATTTGCACTAACTACAA